GCATTAATAACATTGTGAATTCATTAAGATAATAATTAAAATATTGAATACAATAATCTATTATTATTAATATTATCAGAGTTATTGTTGTTGGCACAGTACCCGGTCGTAATGCCAGACTCGTAAAGCCCAGGCTGTTCTGCTTTTGATTCGATTACTGACCCGATAACAACCGGAAGTCTGAGAGCAGCTGCCCGGTGAGATCGAGAACCGCTGGAAACCAACTCTGGTCGTTGTGTCCACCTTCATCTTTCCGGAGAGGTCACTGTTTTCTGAAAGCGCGGCCTCCGACGCGCACCGGTCAACATGGCCGACATGGAGTTTTTTTTTTTTTTTGCCATGAGTTAATCTGTGACAATATCACAGTGGCAAAACCGCAGTTAACCCGAAGACAAGCACGCAGACACACTCCCTCCTACAAGCTCCGTGCCACCACCCCGCAGACCAACACTGGTGATTACATTCACTCCGGTTTTAGCAGGGCTAAGTGTGGTTTCAGAATAAACAGGTGTCCTTGATAATAAATCATCCTTACCTCGTCAAAACTACAGTATGTGCTTGCGCTTTTCAGATAAACTTCACAATTCAGAATTTAATTGCACTTAAGTGTTTTTAAAAGGTCATGGTAGCTTTTTTTCCGAGTTATTTGTGGCCCATCTCTGCAATATCCCCACAATGGCGCCACCTACAGTTAACAATATACCACATATAACAGAAAAGTCAAGGACTTGACAACTCGTAAATAAAGGTAATGCACGTTATTTCTGCGTTTAACACGAAAAGCGAACTGTATATTTTTAAAACATATGTCCTATTTGTATAGAGAGTGCAACAATGAATATGATTAAATTCTTTTGAGTATTGTATTTCTGGAATCTGGTACCTAGATTAGGGCATTTCATATTTTTTGCTTTATATAATTTGCTTTTTTAACACTGGAAAACTTAATATTTTTAAAGTATTTTGGTAGTTGTGAAATCATGATACCTTTGATTACGCATCTGATGTTAAAACTATACTATATGAAGCATGTAAATCGAGCAAAATCTATGTAAACTCGTCTTTTTAACCGAAGAGAAAATCAGCTTTAATAAGACTGCGACAGATTAATCTGGCTGGTGGCTGACAAGACAGCTTTTTCTTAACCTACAGGTGGTGTTTTGAAAAGTGTGGTTGAAACTAAGTATTTTATTTCAATCGTTAAAGTCACGGCGCACAGCGTCTCTAAGTATAGTCTGCAGGATCGATATCGGCTCGTTGTTGGGCAGCTTTCAATAGGCAGTGCGTTTGCAGGGATAGGGGAATGACATCTGAGTCCTATACAAAAGGTCAGAAGAAGGAGAAACTAGCCCAATACTTTGGAAATAAATACAGTTTTAGTAATAACTAATATTTTAGGTACAGGTTTACTGCGAAAAAACGACCGAATAAATTGTCTATTACCGTATGAACCAAGTCAGTTTAAAAGTGATTTTTTAAGTAAACCTGACTTAAAATCCTCATACTTTTTTATTATTTTAAAGAAAGTTATACTCAAACTGTTATCAATTTCAGTACAATCATACCGCGATAGGCTTCTGTCGGAATAACGCATCTTAAAGTAAGCTCTAACCCGCTGTCAAGAAAACTGAAACTATTTTAATAGAGAAATTGAATACACGTTTTCAACATTCTTGGGTCTGTTATTAAAGTTAAAGAAAATAAGAATTTTGAAGTGTTCTACGCGTATTTGGCGACAACTGTTACAGCAGAACATTTGATTGATGTCTGATACTTTGTATGAAAGAAAGTAAAATCTATTTCACTAGTAAATTCAGTAAATTAAAATAAAAAAGCGTATTGGTGCATTGATTTTCCTTAGGGCAAGCCATCTCCATTTAAGCAACAGGCTGAACGCAGTCCGAAAAGTCTGTAACAGAATACATGAGAAGTCGAACCAGTACAAGAGAAACTTTAAATGTGCCACCTTTAAAGGATAACAATTTTAATATTTTAATATCATAACCGTCTACAGCAAGTTCCTATTATCGACTGTAACTTCAGCACCTAGGACAGCTCCGCGCAGGGCGTTGTTCTGAGAAACCCGCAGTTGCGTCGTCAACACAGAGCAGGTCTTCTGACAACAAACCGACGCAGAAAAATTATCCAGAACCAAGCCATGGGTTATATACAAAATACATATTTTAGAAAGTGTCAAACAACTCCAAAAATCAATTCACTAAGTCCAGTTACCCCGAACGTTTCCTGTCGGCTATGCTCATGAAATATTGCACAGAAAACAGGCTCCGAACTCGGCAACAACAAAAATGTATAACGATCAACAACACGTCGAATAAATCACATAGGCAGAAGGTGTCTTACCTGACGTTGATCTCCGCAAAGGAAATGCCATGCTTATCGAAGGAGAAAAGTATTTAAGAGAAGACGATCACTGTCTTAAGGCGTGCGGGATCAGACGGAGTAGATGCTCCGAAGTTTAAGCCATATTTAAAGAAATCTCAGAGGTACCAGCGAGAACCATCAAGCCCATACGAGCGAATACAGAGATCATTAATGGGCATTAGTGACAGGCCATTATGACTTTTAAAATGCTCATTAAAGATTCATTACGAACCACTGTTGATCCGGCAAACACTGGGAAAGCATCCTACTAACCGTACTGTGTCATCGGGAAGAAGGAATAATGCAGAAGCTAAACAGTATTTACTCTGCAAGCCGAGAGTCTGTATTACCATTTTCTCGGGTTACAAAAAATTGCTGTAAGATGATCTCCTAATGCACTGAGTAAACCAGTTATGCCTGGCTTTCCACTTTTTAGTGTAAGGCATCAAAGCGAATCAATGAAGATGACAATGAGCATTAGAGGAACGTTTAAACTATAAAGTTTACTGCCCCATACACTTAGAAACGCTGAATTATTAATCCAACCTAAATGCCACAACAGTTTAGGGATCCTTACTCGGATACTGCTCGGCTTGAAAACGTTACGCGTTTACCGGACGGATTGCCATCATCAATTTAGGAAGAGGCGGTAGAAAAAAACACAAAATGTTATTTCTACCGATACCCCCAACCGGCCAGCTATAGTCTGCTATCGATAACACGACTTCGGGTGTCTACAGGACAGAGGTACCGCTGTTTAAAATAATCGGGACTGGAGAAAAGTTCTCGGACAGATGTGAAGGTTTACAGCATTTCAGCTTTGTCTTTAAATTAAATATCTAATTTCACATTTTACCAATTTGTAATATTTTAATCAGAACGAATATATTCCAGCAAACTGTAAAATGTAAGTACTGTAACTGGTTGAAACTCTGCGTTTAATGCGAACACTTCCCAGCAAGGAGCTAATTGAATGCATTTCCCATATAAACAATGCTTCCCAATGATCGCTAGATGGAGCACATGATTCGCTTTTAACCATTCCTTTCTCCAGGCAGGATTAATGCTGTCGCGCTCGTGTTGACATAAAATGGAGGTGGTTTTAAGGTGACTTACCACCCCATTTTTACTAATCCTACTACTGGGCTCCGCACTGACGAACGGCGAGCACGTCGAATGACTCTTGCGCCAGGTTTTCATGACACTGTGCTACAAAAAAAATGGGTAGCCTTTATTTCTCTTGGCAATAACACTAAAAGGAGTCCGTTTGTTTTTTAAATAACCCTCCTAGGACGCCTTCACCACTCAGAATATTCTTCCACTCCAGGAAAAAACCCATCACAGAATGTTTTCTCGATTCTAAGGTCCAGCAGGGGTCTACTGATTCTTTAAATACGGAAACGATGAACTAGGATCTGCTGCAGTGCATCCAGCCCGGGGGCTCTGTGGATGAAGGGCAGTGATATGCGATGCCCAAGGGGAGTGTCTACCCCTTACATTGCAACAGGCTCCCAGAAGTTTTAGCCCCCTGCACCCCAACTTACAAACCAGACTCTGTTATTGTAACAAAGAAAACAGAAACTGGTGCATAATGGATATCATGTCCCTTTCTTAACATGTGCTGCTTACCAAGAGAGAAGCTGTGAATCTCACCCAAA